CTGGTTCTGTTGGATTTTACTTCGGCGCAGCTGTGAAGATTGTGTGGACAGCTTTCTTCGGCATTGTTCTGACTTTGTCAGAATGCAGCAGCACAACGGACAGCTACGATCGCGACATTGAAATCAACGTTTCTGAGCAGCTGCGATTGAATTTCGTGTCAGACTGTTCCCTCCAAAATCGCGTCAGCTTCGACCGTCAAATCTACATCTGCTCGATCGACGGCCCACATTCCAACCATCACTTCATTTTGGGCCAGATCATCGTCGACCGTCAGATCGAAATTGGACTTCATCGACGGTCTACATTCCAACCTTTTCAAAAATATTGTCAAAGGCATTTCGGCCGTTGGATTCAGCTGAAGAGGAGATCTACGGCATCCTTGCTAGTGTGGGGCTTGTTTCAGTACAGGGCTGCCTTCTTTGGAAGGTGGGAGAGTGTAAGGAATTACAATTCCTTACTGTACTCGCTAAAGTGCGAGTACATCCCGAGGGTATCGCAACGAACCTGTTCGGCCTAATTCGTCGCACCGAACCACTCCCGAGTCGGCTCCGCACCAATCGCAACCATCACCGAGCCATCCTGGCCCAACCTCTCCGCCTTGCTAGGACCTCCCCTATTTAGGCCTCGTCACTTCCATTGTATCGTCATTCAGTAATTCTGTAATTCTCATTCTCGTTATTCGTTATTCTGCGCACTCTGCAAGTTCATTCATAACAATTGTTTACCATTATCGCATGGTTTTTCAAAGTTTTTGTCGCTAATGTATGATGAGCCTATTGCACTTGGGACCATTGGCAGTAGCATTTTTCATGCAAAGATAGCAATAAATAGTGTGAAAGAACAAGGAATGAAAGAGAGAAGGGATTTCACTAGCAAGCAGTTGAGTACATATAGCAAACCCTAAATTGGGCTGTACTCACTATTGAGTACCCCACTGCAGGCTAGACAAACATAACATTCTGACACACCCCCATAGCCAAAGTGGGGTGTAATCAGCACAACAAACAAGCAAAACACAAGCTCAGGGTGGATCACAATGTCACCACACAATCTGAGCACAAGTACAAGAAGCAACAGTTTAAAGTTCACCAATGTAAGCAAAGCTAGAGGCTATCGCAGAGGGCAAGTGTGGAGGAGGAGGGACTATGAGAGGAGAGGAGGTAGTGGGCGGCAGCTGAAGCTGCTGGCACACGGCGCAACTGGAGCAACTGGCACACGGGCAACTGGAGCAACTGGCACACTGGCAACTGGAGCAACTGGCACACGGGCTACTGGAGTAACTGGCTCCGCGGCTAACTCTGAGCGGCAGGAGCAACGGACTCACGGGCGACTGGAGCAACGGGCTCACGGGCGACTGGCGCAACGGGCTCACGGGCGACTGGCGCAACGGTCTCACGGGCGACTGGAGCTGCGGGCTTCACGGCGGCCACCCCTCTTCAACCTCCCCAAACTATCACACCCCCCTTTCACACACCCCCTGCTGCACCCTAGGTTCACTCACACCCCACCCCCTAGCACCACTCCGTCGACTCCCACACACCCACCCCCCTCAGCGGCAGCTGCAGCAGTGGGAGACAGAGGAGGAGGAGGAGCAGGGGAGACCACATACCCGCCACCCCCTACTCGCCACCCCCAGACCCTAACACAGGGCAGGGCGGGACGGCGGGTAGGGAGGTTACGGGGGGGGGGGGGTGACGCGCGGCCTCCCAGGGCGCCAAAACAGGCGGCAGAAGGGGCGACGCTCGCCCCCCCCCCCCCCAGGTCGCCCGCGCGGCCCCCTCAGGTTGCCTCGACAGGCGACGGGAAAAGAGGGGGGGGGGCGGTGCACGGGTCCCCGGTGCGCCGCGACAGGCGACGGAACATGGCCGGGGCGGGGCCGGGGCAGGGTCGAGGCAGGGCCGCAAGGGGCGGCGACGGGGCCGCTGGAGGCGGCGACGGGGCCGATAGGGGCGGCGACGGGCCGCTAGGGGCGGCGACGGGGCCGCTGGAGGCGGCGACGAGGCCGATAGGGGCGGCGACGGAGCCGCGAAGGGCGGCGACGGGGCGGCGACGGGGCCGCGAAGAAGCCGCGAGGGGCCTCGAAGGGCGGCAATGGGGCCGCGAAGGGCGGCGACGGGGCCGCTAGGGGCGGCGACGAGGCCGCGAAGGGTGGCGACGGGGCCGCTAAGGGCGGCGACAGGGCCGCTAGGGGTGGCGCGAGGGGCCGTGAGAGGGGGTAGGGCAGGCCGAGCGCGAAGGGCGCTTCGGGCAGGTGAGGAAAAAAATTTTAAGTGGTGGGCCCTTAGGAAGGAAGAGTCCCAGGAGGGAACCAGCTCTATACCATGTGAAAAAAGAAGGAATGAAAGAGAGAAGGGGTTTCACTAGCAAGCAGTTGAGTACATATAGCAAACCCTAAACTGGGCTGTACTCACTATTGAGTACCCCACTGCAGGCTAGACAAACATAACATTCTGACAAATAGGTGCATAGCAATGTCCACTTGTAATTTGATAAATAATGAAAACACTGCTCCAAGCATCCCAAATTTGGAACTTCAGCAAACAAAATTCTCTGAAAGAATTGAAATATCAAATTACGTGCTTTTCCGGGGAAATCCATTTTTGGCACTATGTATCCTCATTATGAGCGCTGCGGAAATTATAAACAATTTGGCTCTATTAGCGAAATCCCGGATACAAGTGTACTGAGGGTTACGTGTGGTAACTCGGTGTTCAAGCAAATCTAGTTACGGTTACGATTCGGGTTACTGTAATTTCGACGACCCGACGCGACCCACGCGTAAGGTCGTTAAAACCAGGGTGCACATTCAACGCGGTTCGGCTTGAGATGTTGGGAAGGGGGTTTGGAGAAAAACAGTGATTGGCTCACGAGGGGCGACAAAAAAATGATTCCGCTAGAGCTTCGGGCATTTCGTAGGTGGCGGGAGGGGGTGAAATGGCGGGAGTGGGTGAAACCGAATGGCGGGAGGGATGAAACAGATTGGCGGGAGGGGGGGGAAACGAAATTGCGGGGGAGGGGGGAAACAAAATTGCGGGGGAGGGGGGAAACGAATTTCGACTTGAAGGTGTTGAAAGCACACCTCGTAACCCACTCAGTCAAGGGATAACCTTTGATGCACATTCAGCTGAATGTGCACCCCGGTTTTAAGGCGTGGAATGACTATTTACGGACCAAAACTGGGGTCCTGGTTGATTGCCAACTCGCTACCCTGGTTTACCAGGCACACCATTTTCCAACGTGAACTGCCATACGCGGCGGTACCTGAAACAAGGCTACGGCGCGCAGCCATGCTAGGCGAGGTTGGCCGAGCCTGCCATGGCGAAGGTGGCGCCGTAGCTAGAAGAATAAAGAAGGAGAACGAGTAGTCGCAGCGGAAGAAAGCTAGGCTGGAGAGAGACGCCCAGCTCTGGAGACGTAGATGAGAGAAGATAGGAAGAGAGATTCCAAGAATATAGAATTAGAGACGATCCAATGATGATACAAGAAAAGCTAGAGAGAGGTATTTATGCTAGGGAGAATGAGCGCGGCTCGGGAGGAAAGCCCGCGTCGCCACGCTTTCAGCATGGCATCTTGACATAGCGCCTCGATGCCATGCCCTGCTGGATTCTAGTAGCTTCCAATAGCTGATGAGGATAAGAAAGTATGCTCCGAGGGTAACACCTATCCTTATTCGGAGCTAGCTAGGTAGAGGGAGTTCTAACCGTTCGGGTGTTCCCATGCATGCAAGCATGGCATACCCTGTCTTGTTACAGTACCCAACCATTTCCGCCAATCCAGTCAGTGCTACAGTGGTACCTCACATCGGTAGTTTACCGAGCTCTACATGGGGCACGGTTTTTGACACACAATCGGCTGAACGCCAATCCATTTACGGGGCACTTGGCAAACAGCGATACACACAGGTAAACAAAGCCTGGATCACCCTAAACACCCGAAAACGAAGCCTGTTTTTTTGCGATGTCTCGCCACTCACGCACTCCCGTCCCTCAATGTGTCCTGTCGCTCACACACTCTCTTCCCGCGCTCACTCACTCCGTCGCCCGCTTTCGTTGTAGCGCGCGGCCACTCCCGCCTGTCTCCACACCACGGTTTCAGTTCTCCTGCCTGGACCGCATCCTTTCATTTCCGCATGCAGTCACATCAATGGCTCTGCCATCTGTTCGTCGTCGCGCTTCTCCGCGTCTTCCGCCTCCAATCCTCCTTTCCCTCTCAGTCCCTCTCCTCCTTTCCCTCTCAGTCCCTCTCCTCCTTTCCCTCTCAGTCCCTCTCCTCCTTTCCCTCTCAGTCCCTCTCCTCCTTTCCCTCTCAGTCCCTCTCCTCCTTTCCCTCTCAGTCCCTCTCCTCCTTTCCCTCTCAGCCCCCCTCTCAGCCCCTCTCCTCCTTTCCCTCTCAGTCCCTCTCCTCCTTTCCCTCTCAGCCCCTCTTCCCTTTCCCTCTCAGCCCCTCTCCTCCTTTCCCTCTCAGCCCCTCTCCTCCTTTCCCTCTCAGCCCCTCTCCTCCTTTCCCTCTCAATCCCTCTCCTCCTTTCCCTCTCAGCCCCTCTTCCCTTTCCCTCTCAGCCCCTCTCCTCCTTTCCCTCTTAGCCCCTCTCCTCCTTTCCCTCTCAGCCCCTCTTCCCTTTCCCTCTCAGCCCCTCTCCTCCTTTCCCTCTCAGCCCCTCTCCTCCTTCCCCTCTCAGCCCCTCTCCTCCTTTCCCTGTCAGCCCCACTCCTCCTTGTCGTTCCTTCCGTTTCCCCCATGCCCATTTCCCTCCATTTACCCCATTGCCTTACTCACTGTTTCATCCGTGCCCGAATCTTCCTTCCCGTCACCATGCTTACCCTCCCATCCTCCCTCTCTGTTGTCCTTGCTTCTGCTGCATCCCTACCCTTCTCAATTTTACACCCTAAACCCTTTCCTCCTCTGTCCTCCCTCTCCTCACTGCTTTTCTCCTCCCATCCCTCTCCCTCTCTCCTTCCGTCTCTCTCCGACTCATATCGCCCATCCCCATGCTTTCCAGGAATCCCCACATACCGCCCAATGTCCGACGTCCATCCTCACATTCCTCTTCGCCTCCCGCATCCCATCCCTCACCACTTCCCTCCCTCCTCCAATCCCTCTCCATTTCCCTCCCTCCTCTCATGCCGTCAAACACTCATTCCGTCACATACTTATTCCGTCAAACATTGATATGCCCTGTTTCTCCCTCTGTTTCCCCTTGTCCTTCCCTCCGTTTCCCCCTTTTCCCTCCCTCCCTCCCACCTTGTCCTTCCCTCCGTTTCCCCCCTTGTCCCAAATGGTCCTTTGTATTAATTCAGCAGGGGGTACAGACATGCAATTTGACTCGTGGTTCCCTTATACCTTCCGACCCATCAACCCATCCCTCTGACCCTCCCCCCCCCCCCCCCCCCCTTAGTGCCCCTCTAACCCTCCAGCGTGTGGAGGATGTCCCCTAGGTGCAGCGGCCATGGGTCCGCTGCCATCTGGGGGTGCGCTGCCTCAATCCCCGCCCTGGCCTTGGTGTGCAGGGCATTCACCTGGGAGCGCTGGAGGGCCATTGACCAGCGCTGGCTGAAGTGGCAGGCCATCTTCTTGGCCGATTTCGCCAGGGGGTTGGCCCTGAACCGGTTCCTAGCTGCTGCTGTGGCCAGCAGCTTCAGGAACGCCGTCGTGGGGGCGCGTTTGCCCCATAGGTCTCGACGGCCAGGGCGCAGAACACCACGTGTTCTGTGTGCCGGTAGTAATCCCTTTCCTTCCGCTTCTGAGCCTCCCTTGTCCCTCCCTCCCTCCCCCCTTGTCCTTCCCTCTGCCCTCCACCCCTTCCCTCCCTCCCTCCCTCCTCCTGTGCCTCCCCGCCCGTCTCCGCCTCACAGCTCCGTCTTCTCTCGATTCCTATCCCTCCTTTCTCCGCCTACGTCCTCCCATCACTCACTCGCTAAATTCATTTGCCGCTCGACACCTCGTCGCCCATGCGCTGCTCCCACTGCGCCCCACGCTGCTTCCCCACATTCCCTCCCACTCCCCTTGTCTGTCCTTTCGCTTCTCACATGCCCATTTTCCCGGGCCCGCTGCCCTCGCTCGCCTCACTCCTCTCCTCCTCCTCGCCTCTGCTCCAGCCTTATTCCCACACCACCACTCCCCTTCCCTCCCTTCAAATGTCCTCCCTTCTCACTCCAAGGTCTTTTCAAGTCGCTTCCCGACTTGCGACTCACAAAATGCATATGCAAGCACCACCACGCCCTTTCGCAGATATGAACCGGAAGAGAGATGCCGGTAATGGGCACAAGATGGATGAGGCAAGGATTTGTAGGAATAATTGACTTGACACTATCTCATCCTTTTTTTTTTTTAAGTCCCTGGTTTCAACTCGTATTGAAATGTGGAAATCCTCTGTAATTAGCATTACTGATGCTCATTCAACCACACAAATTACGGTGTGTGAAAATTTCCTCCACTTTAGGATTGCTATCACGTCAGTCTTATATTCTTATCGCACCAGCCTTATATGCTGAAATAATTTTGTCAATCGCACATTCGACTTTCAGGTGTGATCTCTCGGACAAACGATGTTCTCACCTTGTGATACTTGTGTCCTTTGTGCAGCCTTCAAGTTTCTTGAACTCGAAAGTGGCCAACAATACACAGGGTCGTATTCGCCGCTCGTCACCTTTCGCCATCCTGGTTTAGCGAATTGAACTCTCGCCACCCTTCGTGAACCACTTTCAACTTCAGTATTTATGAAACATTGCCATTCTAGACTCGGGCTTTGACTGCTAGAAACTAACGAGCAGAAATGATTGCATTGACATCAAACTGAGTACAAGTATAACCCTAATTGGGTTGTACCCCTTATAGGCTACCCCACTACAGCCTACACAACACAAGTAGCATTATAGTTTGACACACCCCCATAGGCAAAGTGGGGGAGAACAAGGTGTCACAAGACCAGTCAAGAAAAACGAAGCAAGCTCAGGGTGGATCAAAAGTCACCACACACTCTAAGCACAAGCAAATGGCCACAGGGCTGGTCCATATGCAGAGTAACCCTGAGACGACCGCTGCGTAGTCAGGTCGTCAACCCACGAAGCGTCTGAGTGTCCAGTGAGGACAACTGGGCCCCGCCCTCCAAGCACGAGCCCCATGCCCGATGTACTGCACAAGTAACGCAGTACCCTCTTCGCAGCATACCAGTGCACCTTTCGGTGCCTACCAGGAGCCACGTAGCGTGCCCGAAGGCCAAGAGGGTACGCAAGGTCAGGACGAATGTAGGTCATCAGGTACATGAGGCAGCCCACTAGCTCTGGGTACGGGCCACTCGGCTCTACGGACTCGTCCGAAGGTGGAGCTGAGAGCGAGTGACCAGTAGCCAGAGGAGTGGACTCTGGCGAGGACCAAGTGAAACCGAAGCGCTGAAGGATCTGCTGCACCATGTGTGACTGAGTCAAGGTGATGGTGCATCGTGCTCTGTCCCGGGTGATCTGCAAGCCAAGATAGCTGCGCAGCTCACCCAGGTCTGTGCACGTGTGTCTCTTCTGCAGCTCCGACTTCACAAGGGCGAGTGCCTCAGTGTCAGCAGTGGCAAAAACCAAGTCGTCAACGTATACGAGGATGTGGAACAGCGGCAGCGAAGTGTCGGTGCGGAGAAACAGCGACGGGTCTGCAGTCGAAATAGCAAACCCAAGTGCCGCAAGTGTCGTCCTCAGTGTGTCGTACCACTCACGAGGCGCCTGGCGGAGACTGTAGACTGGCCGTCGGAGGCTCCACTGGGTACCTGCAGGAAACGACCAGTGAAGCCAGGTGGACGGCACAGCCAGATCTCCTCGTGCAGGCTGCCATGTAGGAAAGCTGTGCTGAAGTCAAGAGAGTGAAGCTCGTAGTCACGCTGAGCGGCAACGTGCAGCAGCACCTGAAGAGTGGTCATTTTTGGGGTAGGGGAGAAGGTCTGGAAGAAGTCAACTCCCTGTCGCTGACTGAAGCCTCGTGCAACGTAACGAGCCTTGAAGACAGACGGAGAACCCGGCGGCCGCTTCACCCTGAAAATCTACATGCCATCGACTACGTTCGCCCTAGGAGGGGGAACTGCGCCGACGTAGGTGCCTGTGGACTTCCAGGATGCCATCTCTGCGTCCATGGCTGTCTGCCACTGAGAGGAGTACTCACCCACGATCGCCTCAGCGTAAGAGCGCGGGGTCGGGATGTCTGGTGCATCCGGGTCTCCCTTAGGGGAAAGCAGCATGGCCACGAAATGAGGTGCAGCGGCTGGAAGACACTCAAAGTCCTCCTCCCTGTCCTCAAGGACGTCCGTGCCAAGAGCACACTCACCCCCGACGAACGGAGGACAGGCAGACTCAGACTCAGCAACAAGACTAGCGGCGGGTGAGGGGGAGGGGCAGTGCGGTAGGGGAAGAGACGGTAAAAGGGAACCGACTCATCAAACGTGACGTCCTGAGAGGACAGAACACGGCGCGAGGTGGGGTGGTAAAACTGCTAGCCAGGCGCGTCAGGGGGAAAACCAAGGAAGACACAGGGAACGGCGCAAGCGGAGAGCTTGTCCGCGGAGGTATCGCGAACAAAGGCACGAGATCCCCAGACCTGGAACACTAACGCATCGCCAACCTCTCCCGTCCAACGCAGTGTCGGCGAGGTCTCCGGCAAGGAGACACGGGGCTAGAGGTTGAGCTGATGCACAGTGTACCGGACCGCAAACGACCACAGAAAATGGGGGGCAGCTGCATGGATCATGGAGGTACGAGCGACCTCCATGACTAGGCCAATGCGGCGCTCAGCAACCTCATTTTGCTGCAGAGAGGCCGGAAGCGTGAACGTCTGGCGAATGCGCTCCCCACGACAAAAGTCCCGCAAGAGGTCGGAGGAAAACTCACCACCTTTGTAAGAGTGCAGACGCAGGACAGGAAGGTCCGTGTCGAACCGCTCGCGAAGTTGGAGACGGACAGTGCGGATCCAAGTGATCAAGACATCAGGGACCTCACCCTTGCTGTGCAAGGGGAAGACCGTGGTGTAACGCGAATAGTCGTCAACAACCAGCAGAAAGTATCGCTCGCGGCCCTGTCTCTGGACGCGGGCTGGGCCCCACACGTCCAAGTGGAGAGTCTGCAGGGGAGCAGTCGTCGGGGGAAACAAGGAGTGAGGAGCGGCACGCTGCCGCCCCTCGACACAGGGAAGGCAGGGAGGGGCAGGCGAGGGTGGGAGGGGAGGCAGAGACCTGGGAAGACCAGAGACAAGAAGGCGAGAGTGCATGCCACGGAGGCGTGGCAGAGAGAGGTGACCAAGGCGGTGGTGCCAAAGGAGAGTCTGGTGCGACAGGGCGCGACACGAGCAGGAGGCTGCTAGCTGACCTGACGTGGATGTAGACGCAGCTACCTCAAGAGGCGCAGTAGTCAGTGTGTACAGGCTCGACCCTGGGCGACGGGTGAACGTGGCCAGGTGACGGCCCGTCCGTGCAAACGTGCAGATCGCGACATGCTGTCCCCCAGGAGTAAAGGTATTAACCCATTCATCTTGAAGGACGGCGTTGCTCACCAAGTTCGTAGAGAACGAGGGAGGTGAAGACCTGACAGTGAGCCAGACGGAACCGTCGGACATGGGAGAACAATGGAGGAACGTGCAAGAGCCAGTCCCCCAGAGGGATCAGCTAGAGAGACTGCAACCGGTGCTGCGAGCGGTGTGACTGTGGTGCTATCGCGAAAGAAGCAACGGGAAGCACCTGAGTCAAGCATGAAGGTGTGCAAGGCCTCAGCAGGTGCAGTACCAGAGAGAGCAGACTCACCAGCACCTAGAGCAGACTCACCAACACCTAGAGCAGACTCACCAGCACCTAAAGCAGCAGCCGCTATACCAGGGTCGGGCGGCACACACAGGTAATAGTCACTCTGAGTACTAATAGACAAAGCATACATGGTAGTGAGGATAGTGTCATACTGTAGTCTAGAGCAAAGTTATCCACCTTGCTCCTAAGCAGCTCTAGCCAGCGGGGGAGCTCAGCCTCGTCGCCAAACACTCTACGCCAGGCGTTGCTCAGATAGGCGAAGCAGCGAGCCTGTGTATGACCAAGTGTCCCGCAAGTCTGACCAGCCCGCTCACCTGTGCGAATGACGTACAGACAGCGGACAGTACTCCAAGCCCCCCCACTCTGAGCGTACCACTCACGAAGCTGCTGGGGCGTAAGGGTCTCGCGCGGACGCAGCTGCAGCTGCATCTGGCCGCCGCCAGAAACACCGCACTAAACAGCTCCACCACGTCTGCTACTACGGCCGCCGCCACCACACCTACTGACGTACCACTCACGAAGCTGCTGGGGCGTAAGGGTCTCGCGCGGACGCCGCAGCAGCTGCATCTGGCCACCGCCAGAAACTCCGCACCGAACAGCTCCACCGCGACTGCCACGACGGGCGCCGCCACCACTCCAGCTGCTGTCACCACTGCCGTCACCGCTCCGACCGCTACCACGAAGAGAAGTTATAGCGGGCCAAGTATGGAGGCGTGCGACCAGTAGGGCAGTACGGAGGGAAGGCAGTAGCACGAGCAGTAGTAGCAGTAGGAATAGCAGCAGAGCGGCTCGGTGAGGCTAGGCTGCAGCACCTCCAGCACTCCTAGCAGTACCTCCACCAACAGCAGCAGTAGCACGAGCAGCAGGGTGGATCGGGTTGGGCAGGGCGGCTCGGGCTAGGCGGCGCGACTCGGCCTGGGCAGCGCGGGCAGCAGGGCACGTGCTGTGCAGGGCAGCAGGGCGACGCGCGGGCTGCAGCAGGGCGCGACGCACGGGCAGCAGGGCGCGGCGCGCGGGCTGCAGCAGGGCGCGACGCGCGGGCTGCAACAGGGCGCGACGCGCGGGGCAGCAGGGCGCGACGCGCGGGCTGTAGCATGGCGCGACGGCGGGCTGCAGCGGGCGCGACGTGCGGGGCAGCAGGGCGCGACGTGCGGGGCAGCAGGGCGCGACGCGCGGGGCAGACGTAGGTCGCGACGCGCAAGGCAGCAAGGCGCGACGTGCGGGCTGCAGTAGGGCGCGACGCGCAGGGCAGCAGGGCGCGAGCTGCAGCAGGACACGGGGCAAGGCAGGGCGCGCACGGGGCAGCGCGACACGGGGCAGGGCAGGGCGTGCGCGGGGCAGCGAGACGCAAGGCAGGGCAGGGCGTGCGCGGGGCAGCGTGACGCAAGGCAGGGCAGGGTGTGCGCGGGGCAGCGCGATGCAAGGCAGGGCAGGGCGTGCGCGGGGCAGCGCGACGCAAGGCAGGGCAGGGCAGGACGCGCGCTGTCGGCGCAACGCAGGGCAGGGCGTGGGGTAACGCGGTAACTGCAGTCGGTCACTAGGTAATGGTGGGCCCGAAAAAAAAAACAGTCTTATGGACCTACTGCTCTGAAACCATGTCAGAAACTAACGAGCAGGAATGATTGCATTGACATCAAACTGAGTACAAGTATAACCCTAATTGGGTTGTACCCCATATAGGCTACCCCACTACGGCCTACACAACACAAGTAGCATTATAGTTTGACATTAACACGAGGCAAAGCAACTACCAATATACTAATTGGGTTACGTGATGACACTGTGGGAGATACTCGCCACTTTGAGCGTAGAGTTTGGGTTACGTGATGACTGTGAGTGTTTTCTTAGAATACAGTATGTGTCTGAATCCCAACCGCTAGACCACGAAAACAGAAAGGCTTGTCATGTAGCGGGTGAGCACACGCATAACGCTCCAGACAAACACGAATGAAACTAGGGCTGTTATACCCTAACTAATTTGAGATTTCAGACAGGTCACCCACTGGAAACTGATTTTCCGGATCTTGTGATTTATGAACCCTAACCATTCAGAGGTATTGTTCTAGGGACACAGATTGAGTGTATATAGGCTCAGACTCGTGCGATGTCGATCCATGACACTGCCGAGTACGATACATGTGGTCTCTGAATGAGACATTATTGGGGCAAAATTTCCCGGAAGTTTCCCGTCGTGAGTACCTCCCCTCCCCTTCGTGTGCAATGATGAACTTGTTTGCCCCCATGTGACGAGGGCTGTTCAGTGTTCACGCAGAAAAGTGATGTAATACCGACATGGAAACTTGCTGTGTTGTACAGCGTCAATGTACAGCACAATTGTTACATTGCGAGCGCAGTAAAGGGAGAAGCGCTGGGGGCGGAAGCGATGGAGGCAGAGGTAAAGGGGCGAATGGGGGAAGGGCGGGTGGGGATGGGGAAGGTTGAGTGCGGGGGGGGAGGATGCGGGAGGGCAGCTTCCATGATGCGCGGGTGAAGGAGGCGGCATGGGAGTTGGTGGTGGAGCGGCTGAGGAGCAGTGGGGGAGCAATCAGTGGCAGCGGCGGGAGCTGTGGCAGCGGCGAGAGCGGTGAGACGGATGTGCTGTGGGATGGTGCTAGGCTATCTGAGAAGATTGTATAGAAAGAGCAAGTGGGCGTGGGCGCAACAATGGTGAGTGCGGGCCTCGAGGAGTCGTTGCAAGCGCACTTCCACAGCCCCCCGCTCTCATGAGCCTTCCCATTGCCCCATCGCCTGTTCTGCTGCGTGCGCGCTTGTCACCTCGTGCCTGCCAGTCACCACAATGCCGAGGCAGCAAACCTGATGAGGTGTTTATTCAAAGCTCGCACGTACCCCCACCGGCCCTCTTCTCGCACCATCTCTAACCCCACCCATGCCTCGTCCACCCACCCAATCCTACACTCCCGTCTCGCCCGCCCCTCCCCTCGCAGCTATGTGAGTGCAGCGGTGGAGCTGCCCCCCTGGGAGGTGGTGCTCCACAGGGACCTCCTCGCCTCTGCTGCTTGCCTGCCCGCCTGCAAGCCGCCTGTGGTGGTCATGCTGCGCCCGCACCACTGCCCTGCTGCTGCCACTGGTGCTGCTACTAGTGCCGCTGCTGGCAGTGGCAGTGGCAGTGCATATAGTGAGTGCTGTAGACGTCTCATGGGAGGCGATGCTGCAGGCAGCAGTACCACTGGAGGGGCCAAGGCAAGTGGTGGTGGTGGTGCTGCTGCTGCTGCTGTTTTTGGAACTGGCATTCTGATAGCACACCAGGGAGTGGTGGCAGTTGCAGTGGCGCGGGTGGTGTGACGGGAAATGGTGCTGCCACTGACAGCGCTGGGTTGAATGGCGACGGTGGAAACGATGGTGGGCTGTTCTTTTCATGGCACGGATATGCTGCGCCTGGGGCGGAAATGAGTGGGGCGGCAGTTAGTGGGGCGGCAGTTAGTGGGGCGGAAGTTAGTGGTGTGGCAGTTAGTGGTGCGGCAGTTAGTGGGGCAGCAGTTAGTGGTGCGGCAGTTAGTTGGGCGGCAGTTAGTGGTGCGGCAGTTAGTGGGGCGGCAGTTAGTGGTGCGGCAGTGGGTGGAGCAGCGTTCATTCCTGGGTCACAGTCGAAGCATCAGGTGCAGGGGGGAGTGGTGGCAGTGCGAGGCGATCGCAGTGCAGGGGGAGTAGGAGGATCAGGTGGTAGTGTTGCAGCAGGTCTGGCAGGACCAGGTTTCCCAGGTGAGGAAGCAGGCGATTGGGGTAAGGGTGGAAACGGTAGGGAAGTGGGAGAGAAGGGATTTGGTGAGGCGAGGGAGGAAGTGACGCATGGAGGCGGATGTGCAGCAGACACTGCAGGGGATAGCTGTGTACCAGGGTCAGTGGCATCGCTCAGACGAGTCTCACCAGCAGCACAAACAGGAGGAGTTCCAGGTGTCTCGTTAGCCGTCGCATCAGCCGCAGTAGCAAGCAACAGAAACTGAAGCAGCTGCAGCAGCAGCAGCACCAACAGCACAGGGGTCAGGTGGAGCAGCAGGGTACAGGGGAGCACCGCTGGTGCATGTGGACGTGCGCTTTGCCTGCAGCCTGCACGTGTGCTACCCTCTGCTGCTCAACGCACTGTCACAAGCGGTGCAGGGGCTCGAGGGGAACGAGGAGAACAAAGGGAAAGGGAATTTAGGGTAATCAGTTGGGTAAGGAGCAGCAGCAGCAGAAGCAGCAGTGGCGGCAGCAGCTGGTGGGAAGGGAAGGGGAGAGTGAGAAAGGTTGATGGGTGCGGGGGAGGTGCTGTTGGGATTATGAACTGGGAGGAAGAAGGGAGAAGAAGTCAGGAATAGGGGATGAGGGGAGAAGGGGATGAGGAGAGGAGGGGAATTGGGGGAATAAGATGCAGCAAGCGTAACGTTGCAAGCAGCAGTGGCCAATTACAAGGGGCTAGGGTCTCACGTTGAAGAGAGGCCCGAGGTGGTCCCATGCTCGGAAGAGTGCAGGGGGCTTGCTCTGACGACCTGCCATGTACAGTGCTCCCTCCCTCTGTGTGCCAGTCAAATCGCTCGCATTCCATGCACATGTAGAAAAGCATGCACAGGCATGCATACACGCACACGCATCCACTCACGCACACACATGCACGAACTCTCGCACATGCACGCACTCTCACACATGCACGCACTCTCACACATGCACGCACTCTCGCACATGCACGCACTATCACACATGCATGCACGCTCACACATAAGGAGCATGCAAGCAGACAGGTGGGGGCAGGGCGCGTTAGAGGTCATTGCGCACCTGCCACGGGCAGGTATACGAGTGTGGGCAGAGGGATGGGAGAGCGCAAAGGAAAATGCAAGGGGGTGTGGTGGGAGCCGGGAGTGCAATAATGGCAGCAGAGGGCAGCACGGAGCTGGCTGGTAAGGATTCCACAAGGTAGGGAGGTGTGAGAGTTAGGGGGGGGGGTCTTACTGGTTCAGCCCATCGGCCCATGGTGAGCGGACAAAGAAGATTCCAGGAAGCGCATCTCGATGTCTGATGGTGCGATGCTACGGACGTGTTGTACTGTGGACAGCACGGTGCTGTGGGATGGTGAGAAATGGCATGTGGGATGGCACATTGGGATGGCATGGTGGGAATGGCATGGTGGGTGGGGGATGGCACGGTGGGTGGGGTATCACACGGTGGGGGGTGGCACGGTGGGTGGGGTATCACACTGTGGGGGGTGGCGTGTGTGAAGCGGGTGGTTGTGAGAGGGCTTACGTGGAAGGAGGGGCTGAGGGGGCATAATGGCCCATGGTGAAGTGGGAGTTGGCATTAATGCGCTGCACGTCCACGTTGCTGGGAGGTAGGAGCGGAGGGGGTGAGACATGGCACAGAAGAGAAAAGCACGTGGGAGCATTGCAGTGGGTGACAGATCATATTGAAGCAAGAGCATGGATTGCCTGAAGTGAGGTGAGGTGAAGTGAGGTGACTCACGTGCGGGAGAGGGTGATGCGAGTCTCGTTCAGCAGAGTGCTGGTGATGGTGGGGAGGGGCAGAGGGCAGGGGCGGGGGGTGGTGATGAGAGCGTGGCAGGGGGGCGGTAAGAGCACGACGGGGCCAGGAGGCAAGATAAGGCAAGCAGTGTGGAGACACTGGAAGAGGAGGGGTTGGAGGAACTAAAAAGCGCACGGCTGCTCCCTCCCCTCCCCACCATTCACCATGTGAATGGTCCTCGACCTTAACTCCCACGTTCCCAACACGCCTTTTCCTCACCGTTCACCTTGCATTCCCATCCCTGTGACATATACTTGATTTTGAGATGTTTCAAAGCAAACCGAGTGTTCCTCGACCTTCACTCCCAACACAGTTTCCGCTCACCATTCACCCTGCAATACCATCCCTCCCTGCTTCTGTTTCGCCCTTGCTTTCCCGCCTTCTCCCTGCACTCATTCCTACCCCTCTCATGCAGGGGACGCCTCAAAAGCCCTCACCACGCACTCAGCAGTACTGCCTCTCTCCCCGCACTCAGCAGTACAATCCTTCTCACCGTTCATTCAGCAGTACTACTAGCAGGCGATGCTACTACTCTCACCCGGGAGATGCTGTGCTGTGGCAGGGTATGGTGGCCCATGAGTCTCCACCCGCCACTCCCCACACCTCCTCCACACTCCCTGCCACTGATAACTGCGTGCCACGTGCCATTCCATGCCATGCCACACCATGTCATGCCATGCCGAGCCATGCCGTGCCATGCAGGGTCATGCCATGGAGCACAGTAGTATGAGTGAAGGAGGAAGTTTAGATGGCATGCTTGATAACGGCAGAAGGAAACCAAGAACGGACAGAGGCGGGGGGGTGAGGGAGGGAAGCGCCGATCGTTGGGAGGAAAGAAAGAGGAGAGAGTTGAGAGGGGGAGACAGAGCAGGGGAGGGGGCGGAGGCGGAAGGGCAAGGAGCCAGTAGCACAACTCACCTGCTCCATCCTGTCTGCTGCTGATGGTGCCCTCTGCAGCAAGAGCGCGTGTAGTAGGTGGAGTGTGCTGATGAGGGGTGGGGAGGGGAAGGGGGATGGGGATGGATAGGAAAAAAGGTGTTGGTGCAACCCTACGGTTTGCACTCGGCTTGTTGTCCGTGTGCGTGAATGTGTGTGTGTATGGAATGGTATGAGGGCATGGGATAATATATATTTCATGCTTATAATTGTGTGTGAATGTTGAGTCATGATGTCGAGTGTGTGTGTCGAGTCAATAGCGAGTTATCGCTAGACGCGTGTTACGCGGTCGTTTGTGTCTCGCGCGCGGTTTCTACTTTGTCGTGCGCGGTTTCTATTTTGTCCTGTGTCGAACGTTCGGCGTGTCGCAGGTGTGTGCAGCAGACCCATCAAGAACTCAAGGATGAGTTTGTGATGAAGAGCCCGAGCCTTGGTGTCAAGCCTCAAGTGATTTCGAAGCTTGCCAAAAGGGTACACCTCAAGATATTGAAGATAGTTACATTACTTTGTGTAGTGTAACATTTCACTTGGTGTAGGCCCTAGTGAAGGGTAGTTTCGAGACCCTTCGTGGTTGGGGACAGTGTGGCACTGTTCCACATCACTGTACCTCGGCTCTTGGGGTTTGTAGGAGCTGGGAGTCATTCCCAACTCGTAACTCTTCCTATCTTGTGTTCTAAGACTATAGTGGCTGCCATAGTACCGTTCGTTCAAACCGACGCTGTGTCGTCAATTCTTTATCAAATCGTGCAATCTAAATTGCTAATTGTAGACGACGTGAAGACGCTCCAGATCCAATTTGAATCAAGTCATTTGCAGCTGTGAGCAGAACGCTATCAACGTTTGAAGCCGCTGTGCAGAAATCCGTCTGTGCTCTCTATCTTTCGTTTTAGGCACATTCAAGCCTATTGTGACTATAACAAAAGGGAGGGAGGAAGGAAGAGGGGTTGGGAGAGGGGGAGGGAGCTGGGGAGGGAGAGTTGGAAGGGGAGAGGGAGAGACAGAAAGGGAGGTATGGGAGGGAGGGAAGAAACGGGGATGTGGTGTGGGGGTGGAAGGAAAGGGGAGAAGGGGCTACAGACGCAGCGGGCGCATAGCAGGCAGCAACAGATGCCCCGCCTCTCCATGCCATGTCCTGGCACCGCACCGAACCCATTCGGACCACCACAAAGCTCCGCTCCACTCCATGCCAGGCCCTAGCACCCGCCAGCCCTGTGCAAGCCTGTGTGTGCGCCGTGCAGACACAGGGCAGCCTTTGAGTGGATGGAGGTACCCACCTGCAGTAGTAGAGCGAGCGAAGCGAGTAATGTGCAATCACAGTTCGAAGAAGTTGACTCAACAGGTGAGTACCCACCCACCCACTAAAGGGTGGGTAAGGTAACATGAGTCAGGGAGTGGGTGGGTGCCCACCGGTTGTAGTAGGGCGAGTAGCGTGCGTTGATGGACTGGCCGTTCATGAGTGGTGTGTCCAGCGTTGCATACTGCTCGCTCTCACTGCTCTCACCACACCACACACAGGGGGCACGCGAGGTGACGGGGGGAAAGAGGGCACAAGGGGCAAGAGAGGGGAGGCGCGAAACTGGGTGTGAGAGGGGAGGGGGCATGTGATGTGATGTGACAGGGTGAACGCTGCAGAATGCTCCCATCCGCAAGCACATGCCATGCCAGGTCATCCATGCTAGGTCATCCATGCCATGCCATGCCACGCCACGCCACGCCAAAGGTTCAGAACAGAAGTGACAATGACGCACACAATTGCCTTGAGGCGTCACTATATGATCGCCTTCATAGCACACGAGGTGGAGCCCTGGAATCTCACGCATAGGAGTACCATACCATGCCATGCCATGCAACAACCACACATACTCAATGCTCTCTCCCGCCCTCCCTGCACTCCCTGCCCTCTCTGCCCTCTCCTACCCTCCCGACCCGCACTACCCTCCCTGCCCTCCCTCACACCCCACCCCACCTGAGTCGATCCATCCACACCACAGCCGTGCTTGGCTCTGCCAGCTGTCGCCACCTCACCACACGATCATACACGTCTCGCCACCCCGCCACCGTCTCCCCCCGCCTCCTCCGCCCTCTCTGCCCCCTTGCCCCTCCCCTCCCCTCCCTTCCTCTCCTCCCCTCCCCCCTCCTCCTCCTGCTGCTGCTGCTCTCGCTGCTGCCGCCGCTGGCCCCTTCTCCCTCCTGAACCCCGCTTGCCCTCCGCCTGCTGCTCATCCGCACCGCTCTCCACCGCGCTGGCTCTTTCCTCTGCCATGGCCCCCCATGTGCGGCGCACCAGGTCTCGAAGGTCCATCATTGCCAGCCCTGCCATGCGGAACTGGTGGGGGTGGTGCCCCGGGGGTGAGGAGGGAGTGGGGAGGAGAGGAGAGGGAGGAGGGGGAGGGGATAAAGTTTCTAAGGCGCCTAAACAAATGTCTCATTGCCAGCCCTGCCAGCCCTGACATGCGGTACTGGTGGTGGTGGTGGCCCGGGGGCGGGGACGGAGAGGGGAGGAGAGGTGAGGGAGCACGGGGAAGGGATAACCTTTCTAAGGCGCCTGACAGAATGTCCATCATTGCCAGCCCTGCCATGCGTACGTGGTGCACAAGAACCAATGGAAGAGGAGAGGGGACAGGAGATAGAGGGCGGAAAGGAAGGAGGGAATGAGGTGGAAAGAGTGTAGAATGAGAGTGGTCTGGGCTAATTTGGATTGGTTTGGAATGCAGTGCACTCGCATTCCATGCAGATTTGTGGACGATCATGCAGAAAAGGATGCATTCGCATGCATGCACGCTCACACATGCACGCATGCACGCTCACACATCCACGCACGCACGCACACACGCACGCACGCACGCCGCACGCACGCACGCACACACATACACGCACACACATGCATGCATGCACACGCACGCACACACATGATGAGAATGCAGGCAGACAAGTTGGAGGCAGGGGGAGTAAGTGAAGTAGCAGCACTGGTAGTGCTTACACGAAGTAGATCGTGGTATCGTGTTGCATGATACGTGTTGCATGATGTGTGTTGCATGATACGTCTTGCATGATACGAGAACACTGGTAAGTCACTAAGCAGCAACCGAAGGCGCAGCAGAAGCAGTGACCTGATAGAAGGTCTGGTAGTGCCTGCCGGGGTCGGTGCCAGGTGGTGGGGCGAGGCTCATGAGGTCATTGTACTCGCGCACCTGCCACGCCATGCCATGGCATTGTAGCACGGGCAGGTGGACAAGTGTGGGCAGAGGGATGGGCGACGGGAGAGGGATGGGCGAGTGGAGAGGGATGGGCGAGTGGAGAGGGATGGGCGAGGGGAGCGGGATGGGCGAGGGGAGCGGGATGGACGAGGGGAGCACAGTAGATGAGAACAGAGGGATGGGCAAAGCTGGGAATGCAAGAATGGCAGCAGAGGGCAGCAAGGTGCTGACTGGTAAGGAGGGATTCCACAAGGTGGGGAGGTGTGAGAGGTGTGAGAGTGAGGGGGGGCACTGACCGCTTCAGCCCATCGGCCCATGGCGTGCAGACAAGAAGTTTCCAGGAAGCGCATATTAATGTCTCATGATGCGATGCTAAGGACGTGCTGTGCTGTGGATAGCACGGTGCTGTGGGATATAGCACGGTGGGGATGGCCCTGGGGGATGGCGTGTGGGAGGAAGGCATGCGATGCGATGGGTGCATGGGACGTGGGTGCATGGGTGCATGGGAGGGTGCAGGCATTTATCATGTGCATTTAAGAAGCCATGCGATAGGATGGCACAGAGAAGATTAGTCTGCTATAATAGGAGGGAGGAGACTTGGCGGGGCTGATAGTATAGGAGGATGGGGGAAACGAGTGGAGAGAGGACAATCTTAAAAGAGTGATGGCGAGATGTGATGATACAGATGTGGAGAGAGAAAGCATGGTGGCAGGGGGAGCGTAGGAGAGAGTGGTGGCAGGCAGAGAGGGGGGATTGGCGGAGTCGTTCAATGATTGCAATGAAGCAGCGCAGACACATGCCGGACGCAGGAGGACGGGGTTGATTCAGGGGAGGGTTGCGATGAAGGGGGCTGCTTTGAGCTGGTGTTACGGAGGGGGGGAGGGGGGAAGGGGGGGGGATGAGTTGATGGGGGGGGGGTGAGTTGACTTTGGGGGGGTGAGTTGATGGGGGGGGTTGAGTTGACTGGGGGGGGGGGGAGGGGGGGGGGGGGGGGGGTGTGAGTTGAGAAGGGGGGATGATCTGATGAGGGGGGATGAGGTGATGGGAGGCACGGAAGGGGGAAGTCACGATGGGGGCTTGAGTGGGGGGAGAGGAGGCTGAGGGGACGGAGAGACATACTGGTGGTGGCCCATGGAGAAGTGGAAGTTGGCGTATATGCGCTGCACCTCCACATTGCTGGGAGATACGGGCGCAGGAGGAAAGACACGGCACAGAGCAGCAGAGCAGAGCACAGAGCAGCAGGGCAGAGCACAGAGCAGCACAGAGCAGCAGGGCAGAGCACAGAGCAGCACAGAGCAGCAGGGCAGAGCACAGAGCAGCACAGAGCAGCACCGCAGAGCAGTGCAGAGCAGGGACAGGGGGGAGCACAGTACTGGGTGGGTGGCAGCTCGAGTGGAAGCAAGGGCGCATGAGATTGCTTCTTTTTTTTCTCTCTGTTTACATAGCGATTTCGAGTTGCAAGCTCAAATAGCATGCCGGCACTCTATACTTCATTCAAAGCATCTGGACGTCCGGTTTCTCTCCCACACCACCACCCCCGCAACCCCCCCCCTACCCCCCTCCCCCTCTCCCCCCCCCTCTCTTCCACCTCGAATGCCACCCTTCCTCCCTCCTCTCTCCCCACCACTCTCCCTGCCCCCAAGAACTCACCCTGCCCTCCCCTTCCCTCCCGTAACCTCGCCTCCCCTCCCCTCCTCTCCCCTGTCCACATCTCCCCTCCCCTCCTCTCTCCTACCACCCTTACCCCTCCCTCACCCCCCACCCACCCACCACACCCCATCCCCTCCCCTCCCCCTCCTTTGCTCACCGTGCATCCATGGCCAGGACAGCCTGCAGAGTGGCGTCGGCCTCCTGTGCGTGCCCCGCCACCATGAGCGCCTGCCCCAGCACCACGCGCACCTGCCAGTACTGCCCCTGCGCCGCCACCACTGCCTGTAGCTCCCCCACCGCCTCCCCACACCGCCCCGCTTCCAATAGTGCCTGTGCCTGCGGGTGCAGAGGAGGCGGAGGGAGGGGAGAGGGAGAGGGGGTGTGGGGAAGGAGGGGGGAAGAAGGGGAGAGTGAGGGGGGAGGGGAGGGGGGTGGGAGGGTTTGTGTTGGGGTTCACTGCATGTAGATGTGTGCGCTGTTTGAGGTGACTTTTGAGACGACTCAAAAGTCACCTGGTTCACTGCATGCAGATGTGTCCGCTGTTCGTGTGGGAAAAAGGAAGGTGAGGAGGTGGGGGAAAGGGGGGCAAGGGGGGAATGGGAGGGAAGTGGGTGGAGGGTAGAGCACAGCGGTACGAACCAGGTGTGCGCGTGCGTTGTGGTGATGTGGTGAGAGCAGCAGCACGGCCCTGAAGTCCTCTATGGCCTCCCAGTTGCGGACCGCGCCCAACAGCGCCACGCCTGCCAGGAGTGGTAATATGCGACAAAGAAGGTGTGGTGTGGGACGGACGGAGGTGAGGGTGGGTGGAAATGCGCGATGGAGACAAGGCCGGATGGAGGTGCAGAGTGGGATTTCGGGGGGAGGGAGGACGGTGGGGGGGAGAGGAGAGGATGGTGTATTGTGAAGGGAGCTTCAGCTGACCGATGTGACATCCATGGCTGTGTTTAAAAGAGCGGATGCGGCTTGACAACGAGTTAGCAATGCTCTATGCATCTTGCTCTATCAATCCGTCCTCCCTCCACCTCCCTCCCCTTTGCAATCCCTGCTGCCGCCTCACAACCTTGCCCTCTCACTTCTTCCTCCTTGCCCTCTCACTTCTTCCTCCTTGCCCTCTCCCACTCCTTCCACACACTTGTTCCTCCTTCCCGTTTCACCTATCTTCCTCTCAATTCCCTCCTTCTCCCCTTCCCATCAATCACTCCCCACTCCCGGCTCCAATTCTCCCAGATCCCCGCACCTCGTTGGAACAGCAGGGAAATATCCCCAGGTGACCCCTGCACTGCTCGCCGCAGCTGTGCGATCTCCTGGCAGGGGAGGGGGAGGGGAGCACACGTGCAGGAGGGGGGTTGGGTTTAGGGTTTAGGGTTTAGGGTCCCCACACGTGTGGTGTTTGTTGGTGTGCTGTGCTGTGCTGTGCTGTGCTGTGCTGTGGTGTGCTGTGCTGTGCTGTGCTGTGCTGTGCTGTGGTGTGCTGTGCTGTGCTGTGCTGTGCTGTGCTGTGGTGTGCTGTGCTGTGCTGTGCTGTGCTGTGCTGTGCTGTGCTGTGGTGTGGTGTGGAATGGGCCGTGAAGTGCCAGGGTGCCTGGCAGAGGGGGCAGAGGCAGAGCAGAGACATGTAATGGGGGGAGAGGCAGGCTGGGGGATGGGATGCCTGATGGCATGGTTGCGGAACGGGGTGAGGGACGAGGTGGGGAGCAGATGGGGAGCAGATGCGGACACCGGGCAAGGACATGTATGGAAGGCATGTGCAAAAACACCCGCTTGTGGTGAGTGCGAGGTAGGGCATGGGGAGCGGCAGGGACGGCCAGGCAGGCAGGCAGGGAGGCATGGGGAGCCCACCTGGGTGTCAGCAACGTGTGGGGGGGCAGTGAAAGGTGTTGGGGGGGATGAGTGTGGCTGTAGCTGAGATGGCGAGCTGTTGGTAGCGGCTGGAGGTGATGATGATGGGGAGGAGTGTGAACTGCGGGAGGAGGGAGAAGAGGAGGAGGAGGAGGGGGAGGAGGGGAGGGAGGGGGAGAAGGAGGAGGGGGAGGAGGAGGGGGAGGAAGAGGAGGAGGAGGAGGAGGAGGAGGAGGAGGAGGGGGAGGAGGAGGAGGAGGAGGAGGAGGAGGAGGAGGAGTAGGAGGAGGAGGAGGAGGAGGAGGAGGAGGAGTAGGAGGAGGAGGAGGAGGAGGAGGAGGAGGAGGAGGAGGAGGAGGAGGACGAGGAGGAAGAAGAGATGGTGGAGGAGGAAGAGGAGCGGGGTGGGGGAGTGGAAGGCTGGTGTGCAGTGAGCGGCACACACAGCGCGGAGAGGGGCGAAGACCAATGCGGCATGGGGGTGTTAGGAGTGCTGTCAACAGCTAGGGGCAGTGTGTGCTGGTGGTGGCACGGAGGCAAGCACCTGTGGCAGGGACCGATGGGGAAGACAAAGCAGCAAGGAGGAGGAGAAGGGGGGGGACGGTATGAGAGCTGGGGGGGTATGAACGAATGCGTTTGTGCATAAATGGCGCATCTGAGATAAGGCGACACCAAGATGGAATGGGAGAGAGGAGAAGGGAAGTGGTGAGAGAGGGGAGGATGAAGAGCTGTGTCTGATGCCACAAACAAACACCGCACCACACCGCACCGCACTGCACCGAACTGCACCACACTGTACCACACCACCACGCGGGGAGGGCGCGGGTGGTCTCACAGTCTCTCACCACACCACACCTTCCAAGAGGAACAGCTGGGTGCACGTTTTGAGTCGACTCAAAACAAGGCTCACGGTCTCTCACCATACCACACCTTCCAGGAGAAACAGCTGGGCGCACGTCCCCTCCGCCCACACCACCCCCCCACCACCCGCGTCGCTCCCGTCCTCGCGCCCGCCTTGCTCCTCCTACCTCCTTGCTCCCCGCCAAACCTCTGCTGCTGCTGCTTCCACGCCCGTCCGTCTCTCCCTCTCTGCCTTCCCCCTTCCGCTGCCCCCCAGCTTGCTCCCAGCGCCACAAGCTCCCCCTGTAGCATGCTGCTGGGGGGCCGGAGGGGCGAAGGGGGAGGCGGAAGAGTGGGGTAAAGACGAGGAAAGGAAGGCGGGAAGGGTGGTGAAGTGACAGTGAGGGGTGGGAGCGAGTTGGAACACGTGGTGGGCTTGGGGCAAAGGGGCACAGAATGGTAGGGAAGGGGACTTAGGTTCGAGGAGAGGCAGAGAGGCGGAGAGGCGGAGAGGCGGAGAGGGCGAGAGGGCGAGAAGGGATGCACAGTGCATGCGAATGGGAGGGGATGGTACAGAAGGAAGCTTGTGAGGGGTTGAAAGACCTTGGGGACAATCAACGGAGGGTGAGGGGTGTACGGAACAAGGTGGATTGTAATTCTGGTGTATAATACGATGTTGTATTTTTTGGCCGTATAAAACGGTTCAAAACGCCTATATGTTGTCTATACTAAGGAAGGTGGATGCGGGTGGAAGGGGAGGAAAGGAATAACAGGGGGACATTGAATGGGCGGGTGGGGGACGGGGGAGGGGGATATATGGGAACTAGTGGAGCTGGAATAGGGGGGCGGCAGGTTGCAGGCGCGCCAGTAGGCACGCGAGGGGGCAGAGCGGAGCGCCAAGGGCGGAGCGTGTTGAGCTGGCACTGAACCTGCAGAAGTTGGTCGTCGAATTCTGCAGAGGAGGAGAAATTCCGCCGAAGGGAATTCTGCAGAAGTCAACGCAGAACTCTGCACTGCAGCGGAGTCACCTCGCAGAAGCGGAAAACAGGTTCCGCTGCAGACGAAGGCGAATCTGCCGAGCAGAACGTGGAGCTGCAGAGGGCGCAACTGCAGAAGTTCGGATCTGCAGAGAATGGCGCATCTGCAGAAGCAAAATTCTGCAGAGGACCGAGTCTTCTACAGGCGAACCCCTCCGACGCAAAAGTGCGATCGTTTCGGAACTTTTGCGTGGGAATTTCGGAACATTGCAGGACATTGAGAAATTGACCCCGGGGAACAGTGCGCGGAACTGGGGTGTTCAATCTGGGGCGAAACTGAACGACCTGCACAGAATGAACCTGGCGCACGTTTTCGTAACTACGAAAACGTGCGTTACAGAAGTTGTTTAAAACAACCTGAACAGCTAAAACAACTACTGTTAGGTAGGTAAAAATTACCAACTAAGCACGTGCTGTAATTTTCACCTGCCGACGCTGAGTTGGCAAAGCGCAGCTAAAAGTAGTTATGTAAACGTTCTTGGGCGAACGTTCTCTGCATGGTTCATTGGTTGGGTAGCTTCTAATTCACCCCTTGTTGTATTCTATCTTTCATCAATTCTAGTGATTTTTTCGTGTGTGCCAAATCTATGCCGTTTTCAACACTTAGCCAAATTTCTCCTTAGTGAACAACAAAGTTTGCGTGGCTGCAGAGAAGCATTTTGTAGAGCTCCAACTCCCGTTAGAGCAGAAATCTCTGCATGGTGCGGTGAGCGTGGATCGAACACGCATAGAATTCGTTCTTCGACGTTAGGTCTCATTGAACTTAGCTAGTCGACATGGTGGGCTCTGAGGAAATCCTCGAGACGTTCGACAGTTTAAGTGAGCAGGAGGCTGCTTTGATGGCTCGTCATGAAGGCGGAGATCTTACCGAGCGGGAGCTCAATTTTATGCTCTTGGGAGCACGAGCTCAATGGGAGATGGACCATCCGCAGACTCGTTCAGAGGAAGACGGGGCATCACACACTTCTGGAGACGACGAGAACGCTGAAGAACCGGAAGAAGGCGGAATGCAGGAGCCACGAGGTGTTCTAGGACAAGGAGAACTAATGAGCCCTGGTGAAGGCTCGCAGCAGAAGAAGGATGCAAGCCCGAAGAAGGCGGCTGGCAGGGGTGGACGCTTGAGCGGTCGAGAATCTGCAGTAAAGACTGGTGGGAGCTCGGCAATCTCTCATCTGACGGCATCGAAAGACGGCGGAATTGCTCCTGACTACGGATACTTCAAAATTTCTCCCGACAAAATCGTGGTACCGAAGCTTCTCGAAGGACGTCATGACTTATCCGTCTGGACGGAGTCCCATCGAACCTCAACTTGAAATTGCGCAGCTGAAGCCGTTCATCGACAGCTCGATCAAGATTCCACGGCTGAGCGACACTTCACAGTATACACAATTTCGCTCGGCGCAACTTCTGACCTTTATGGTGATATTGCGCTGCTGCTCTCCATCCGTGAAGATCGCCTTGAAGTCATGTCGTCTTCGAGTGGATGCGGGCTACCAAGAGTGTCGCTTCATCATGGAGACCCACAAAGCAACGGACTATCTCTATATCGGCCAGCTGGAGAGGAGCTTGGCGACGCTAGAGATGGCGGAGCATGAGACGGCGGCGACCTACTGCAATCGTGCGCAGATGATTCTCGCTAATCTGCGAATGGCTGGCGTGAACTATTCGATGGCCTCGTATGTGACTCATGTCCTCACAGGTCTTCCCGCGGAGTACAAGTACCTTCGACGAATGCTACAATCTCCGGAAAACTGCAAGACCCTCGACGAAAACATTTTGACGAGCAGAATTATCGCGGAGGAGTGCACGCTCGAGCTCGAAAAGCGGAAGGAATCACCTCTGCCACAGGTCAACTGGGCGTCGACAGGACAGCAGCAGCAGCAGTAGAAGCGTTGGTCTTCTCCGACAACTGGCGGTTCTACGGAGCAGAAGTCGTCGAACAAGGAGCAGCAGAAGAAAGATGGTTGACAGCCAAACAACAAACGGAGCGCGAAGAAACCTTGGTGGGTCTGCGGAGAAGTCGGTCACTTTGCGTTCCAGTGCGAACAACGTGCCGACAAGAAGAACAACGCTTCCGCGCAGAAGGAGAGTTCTTCAAAGACTGGAGCGCAGAGCGACAACTCCAATTCGACCAACAAAAAGGGACCTTCTTGTTCAATGGTGGGACCAGTTGTGGACCAGCTGCAGACGACCGATCTGCTCATTTCGCGGAACGCGGAAGATGGTGTGGATTTTCAGGCGATTGCTGCAGCCGTCGAAGCCAATCATGCAGTTGTTCTTCTCGACAGTGGCTGCTCACATCATCTGATGGGCGACGATGCAGCCTTTGTCGAAATGCATGAAGGCGGCGACATTAAACATGTTCGCGGATTCAACGGGGCATTCCAAGACGTGTGTGGTCGCGGAACAATCGCTCTACGCGGTGAAGCTGGGAAGCATATTCTGATTCCTGATGTGCTCTACGTGCCTGGAATCCATGCGAATCTATTGTCTGCTGGGCAGCTGAAGGATTGTGGAGTAAAGCTGAAGGATGAAGGTGAAGAGACCCTCCTTCTCTCTACTGATGGGACAGTCCTTGGACGCGCTCGTTATCGAGGACGAGTGCTCAACACAGATCTCCAGGTGTGGCCGCTGCAGAAATCGTAGAGGAGGCGATTGCTCTGCGGACCCTGGCGACGAATACACGGGCGAAGATGGATGTGTGGCATCCTCGACTTGCACATGCGGGCGTCGAAACAATCAAGCAGACGGCGACGCATGGTGCAGCGACAGGCTTGGATATTGACAAGTCAGCCAACCCTGATCTACCGTGTGTTTCTTGTGTGGGGGGAAAGCTTATTCGGCATAGTTTCCCTCAAGAGGGGAGTGAAGAGCAGAAGGTGCTGGGAGTAGTGCACATCGATCTCTGCGGGCCCTTCCGAGTTCCTGCGAAAGATGGCAGCCGCTACTTTCTTCTGCTCAAGGATCGCAAATCTCGCTACGTCTGGATCTACCCGATTGCGCAGAAAAGCGATGCTCTGCGCGTTTTCCAGAAGTGGCTTCCACGTGCAGAGAGGCAATGTGAGGCTTCGCTGAAGGCTCTCCGCTCCGATCGAGGTGGCGAATTTTTGGGAAGTAAATTCACCGAGTTCCTCGAAGAGAAGGAGATTGAGCACGACCTCACCTGCCCCTATACGCCGCAGCAGAACGGGATGGCGGAACGTGAAATGCGGACTGTCGTCGAAGCAGTTAGGACAATGCTTCTGCACATGGGAGCTCCCCACCATTGGTGGCACCTTGCAGCTCTGCAAGCTGTTTGGGTGAGGAATCGTCTGGAACATTCCTCTCTGCCATCGGGGGTAACTCCTTATCAAGTGCTCTTCGAGAAGACCTTGGGATGGCTAGAGTTTGGGGGTGTATGCTGCAG